GGGAAGCGCGGCTGGGCGGGGAGGGACGGGACAGGACAGGACGGGACAGGGTTGTGTGTGTCCTCCGCCCGCCTCCAGCAGAGAACTCGGTTACCTCTGTTCGGTGACCGTGTGCCGTTTCCGGTGCTGTATGTGGTCACCAAATCACCCAGTCCTGCGGGAAAACCCTCACCGCGTTAAATTGACTATTCCCCTCGTTCCTTGCAGCGTGACAGCAAGCCCCGAGGCTTGAGTGAAGCTTTATGGTTCATTAATTATTGCCCTCTTCTCCTCAGGCTGCAAGGAAAAAAAAAAAAAAAAAAGTGATGTTTAAGATATTCCTCCTGTTCTCGGTGGGCTATGTGTTAATGCCAAAGGAATACTTTAGCACCACTTGTTATACCTCATCCCTCGGTCACTTCTACTTTTCCTCTCTTCTCCATAGTCACATGCTTCTCTCTTACTTTTAAGCACACTCTTTGCCTTTGCTGAGACTTTTCAAATCGTGTATTCAGGTAAGGATCATGATTAACCAGCACACATTTTACAAAAGAACTTTTTATCATACCCTGTAATGATAATAAAATGTTTATATTCCCTAGCACAATAAAATGGATCCACATTTTAAGTTACCTTTCACTGCATTTTCAGAGGACGACTATCTTTTCAACCTGAGGGATACCAAAGGGATACCTTTGTGGTATTTCTTACCCTGGGGGGGGCAAGTAAGAGCCTCCAAAAGCAGCTGTGCAGGGAGCTAGTTAGCATAAATAAGGAGGGAGATGCCAACGGAGGGAATAGGGCTCACAGATCAAGTGTCTCACTTGCTAGAACTGCGTGCCCCCTTTCTAGCACTGAACAGGTTCCTGATATTGGGCAACTGCACTTTTCTGTGATTATATGTTGAAGGAGAGCCCTTACTGGTGGCTTTCCTGGCATCCCAGTAACTGAGACTGCCACCTACACCATGAGCAACACAGGAGGGAGCTGGCGCTGCTCCAAGACAAACAGGGATGGGATGAATCCTGTCTCCTACAGCTCCTGGAGTCGTGCAGCTGGAGGCTTATTAGAGATGTATTAGAGACGAGAGCCAGTTTATTGCAGCTGAAGGTCTCTGTCGCTCCCGCTGGAAGCACTCTGCTTTGTACAGGTAATTAAATCTGCCTTGAGGTAGGAAATTGAGCCTCTGAGGTCCAAACGCTTTCTGTGTGACCTCAGCCCTGTCCTTCAGCAAGGGGCTCTCTTTGGCTCACAGGCAGAATATGGAGAATCCCTTCTGATGCTGCCAGGCTGCAGCTCTTCAGCAGCTTTGCATAGGATTGCTCGCAGAAGCATGGGCATCAAGGGCAGGCAAGCCTGGACCTCTGGGGCCGGACGACCCCATAGCAGTTGTTCTGAGGATGTCAGTAACACCAGCCTGCAGTGAATGAAGAACTGGGCTCAGATCCGCTGAGATCTGCTGTGAATGGCTGGTTCCAGTGTTTGTTATTATATGTGTGACAAGTTGTGTGGTACTTTTTGTCCTACGTGTAGTACATCAATTTTTCCCACCTACACATGCAACCTATCATTGTTGGTCCAGTGCATTGCAATGTATCGGTATTTCTCAAAAACTCTCCAAATTCATCTAACTAAAATGAGTTGGTATCTTCAATCAACATTCTTAATTTCCTTTTCACTTTGTTTTTAGCCAGGGCCAATTTAAACAGCAACTTTTAAGTCATGATGACTGTAAGAAGTGATAATTGCTTTTGAGGATGGCAATGAAAAGGCAAATAATGCAGTACAGAATGGGACACTTAGACATGAGTCTAAATTAGCAGTAGTCCTAGGAAGATCCTTTAGAAGTCCTTTGGGTTTCATAAAATCAAAATGTCATTCTTTCTGTCTTTCTCAAAATTAAACAAATGTCCATAAGAAAACAGTGGAAGATGCAAAACTGGTAAGGTGAGGA